AGAAGGCTGGCGGTTCAAACCCACCAGCCACTCCTCAGAAAGAAGGTTGGGCAATCTACTTCCATAGTGATACCACCTTGGAAACCCAAGGAGGAGTTACTGTGAGTCAGATCCAACTCAACGGCAGTGAATCCCAGATTTCACCTCTTTAGGATATAGTCCTAGCAGTGGGATTGCTGGATCAAATGGTATTTCTATTTCCAACTTTTTAAGGATTCTCCATACCTATTTCCACAGTGGTTGTATCATTTTACAGTCCCACCAGCCAGCGGTGTTCTAGAGTTCCAATCTCTCCACATCCTTGCCAACGGTGTTCTAGAGTTCCAATCTCTCCACATCCTTGCCAACGTTTGATGTTTTCTGTCTTTTTGAACTTTGTTATTATTGCTGGAGTGAGATGACATCCCATTGTTGTCTTGATTTGCATCTCTCTAATGGCTAATCTCTAATAGATTGCTCTTAATTCCTCTTTCTCTGACATCCATCTCCAATCCAGAAAGTCCTGTTGACAATATCTTCAGAAGACAGACCAAATCTGACCACTTCTCACCTCCTCCACTAGCCATCCTGGTCCAAGTCACTGCCATTGCTTGCCTGACCAGCTCCCAGCCTGCTCACTGCTCTCTCAGTTTCCATTCTTTGTAGGCCATCCCACAGTGATCTTTCCAAAATGAGTCATCAGACCAGGACCATGACACTGCTCTGCTGAAAACTCTCCCCACTACACTTAACAGGGTCCACAAGTCCTTGCCCAATTTCCTGCCGCTCCTGTGCTCATGGCTCTCTGCCCAGCATTTTCCTACCTCAGGGCCTTTGCACATGTACTTGTTCCTGCCCATACACTCTCCCCCAGATCGTCGTATGGCTGCCTGTTCCTCAGGATTCAAGTCTCACGTTAGATGTCCCCTGTGAGTGCCACCCCCAGATATTCTCTATCAAATACCATAATCTTCCAAACTCTCATCAGAACCCAAAACTATCTTCCTTATGGGCAAGGGTTTTTTTGTTTTAATTTTTACTGTGATTTGGGTGAAAGTTTACAGAACAAATTCCTTTTCTATACAGCAGTCCACACACATTTTGTTTTATGATGTTGACTTCAATTCCCCACGATGTAACAGCTCTCTTCCCGCTTCCTCCCAGTAGTTACCTCTTCCCTGTGTCCTTCCCTCCCATGCACTCCCACCCGCCCCCCAGCTGTCTCCCTGTGCAAACACTGCCCTTTTGTTCTCCCAAGAGAGATCACTCTGTGGAGTGTATCTACCTGATGTGAATGTTCACCCTTGATGCCTGTCTATTGTTTGGCTGGAAGCCACAGGAGTGAGTTCAGTTCCAGACCTGAAGGGTGTCTAGAGGCCATAGTCTCAGGGGGCTCACCAGGCTCTATCACACTAGTAAACCTGGTCTTTTTTTTATCACACTAGTAAACCTGGTCTTTTTTTTTATGATTTTTTTTGTTCCACATTGTTATCCCACTCTATCCAGGATCTACTGCACTGATCCCTTTCCAAATGGTTGACAGTAGTAGCCAGGCACCATCTAGTTCTTCTGGTCTTATGGTCATGTAGGCTGAGGATCACATGGTCTACTAGTCCCTTGGACCAATTGTTTCCATGTCTCTTTGGTTTTCTTTGCCCTAGATGAGGAGAGACCCATTGTTGCATCTGGATGGCCACTTGCAAACTTTTAAGACCACAGTTGTTACTTACCAAACTAGGATGTACTACAATGTTTTTGTGTAGTATGTTATGCCAATTGACTTTGATGTCCCCTGTGACCATGGTCCTGAGCCCACAGGTCCAACTACTTGCTCTCTCAGGGTGGTTGTGGTCACGAAGTTATCGTAACTTTGCCTCTTGTTAGCTGTATTATACATCTGGACATTCTTACAGCACAGAGAAATACGTATGTAGCAGTATCATCTGCCAAACTTATATATGGTCACAGGTATATTCCCTTTTGCCTAGACATCTGATCATTCAGCTTGTCTACCATCTACTTATTCATAGATTAATGTTTGTTATCACTGACACTGCAGTGTTGTGTATGTAAAAGGGTTTATCGTTGTTGTCTGTACCTCCTGTGTACCTCTCTGTGCCTTCCTCTTCTTCTGTGCCACCGTATTGATCACTCACTTTTGGTACATTGCCCTTCCCTTTACCCAAATCAATACTTGTCTCTATCATCTAGTAGGGGTCCCTCCCCTCCCCCTTCCCCCTTCCCTTTACCCAAATCAATACTTGTCTCTATCATCTAGTAGGGGTCCCTCCCCTCCCCTCCCCCTTCCCCACCTCATAACCAACAAAGTTTCCTTCCATATATAAACCTTTCCTTGACTTTTTACAATAATGAACTAATACAATATTTGTCCTTCTGTGACTGACTTATTTCACTCAGTATAATGTCCTCCAAGTTCATCCATGTTATGTGCTGTTTTGCAGATTCCACATTATTCTTTAGTGTTGCATAGTATTCCATTGTGTGTATGTACCATAATTTGATTATCCATTCTGTTGATGGGCACTTACATTGTTTCTATCTCTTTGCCATTGTGAATAGTGCTGCAATCACTGCCGTGGAGTCAGAGTCAGATCTGACCCATAACGACCCCTCCTTAGGTTTCTGAGGTGGTATCACTATGGAAGTAGATTGACCAATCTTCCTTCTGAGGAGTGGCTGGTGGGTTTGAACCACCAGCCTTCTGGTTAGCAGTCTAATGCCTTAGGCACTACACCACCAGAGCTCCTGCAATGAATAAGGGTGTGCATACATCTGTTCTTGTCCTGGCTCTCACTTCTTTAGGATATGTATCTAGTAATGGGATTGCTGGATCAAATGGTAATTTTAATTCCAACTTTTTAAGGAATCACCATACTGCTTTCTACAGTGGATGTATCATTTTGCAGTCCCACCAGCAATGTATGAGAGTCCCAATCTCTCCACATTATCTTGCCAGCATTTGTTATTTTCTGTCTTGTTGAACTTTACCATTAGTGCTGGAGTGAGATGGTATCTTATTGTTGTTCCAGTTTGCATCTCTCTAATGGCTAAATGATCATCATGAGCATTTCTTCAAGTGTTTGTTGGCTGCCTAAATATCCTCTTTGGTGAAGTGTCTATTCATGTCTTCTGCCCATTTTTTAACTGGATTGTTTGCCTTTTTGATATTGAGGTGTTGGAGTTTTCTATAAATTTTAAAGATAAGTCTATGGGCAGAGGATTTTGTCTGTTCTGTTGACCGCTAAATCCCCATTACCTAGGAAGTGCTAGGCACATGACGCTTGGTATTTGTTGAGTAGTGGTTATGTGGATTTATAAAAACATAACCACCCTCACAAAAACAACCAGATAAACACAGATTCTCACATATACAGATACCGGCAGAAGTACCTACACACACACTCACAAACAGACTAAACAGTTACACAGACACCCAGGAGGCCCTTCCCCATGGGAGTCAGTCCTCATCCTCCCTCCCATCTAGACCTGCCCTCTGCTTGAACCCAGTATCAGGACTGAGAGTAGGGGTCTTTAACCTGGACAGGGAGGGGGGTGGTCTCTGGCCCACAGGCCTCAGGCAGCGCCTTCAGCTATGTCTGCAATTTCCTCTCCCCCTTCCCTCCTCCTCTCTAAAGGCTCCTGCCAAGGAGGCCTCCCCCTCACCCCAGCTCCGGCACAGGGAGGGGGGCCTACGGGGGGGTTCTGGGAATCTGGGCAGGAAGAAGACTCTAGGCTGCAGGCACCAAACGCACAACACATTACGTGCAGAAGCCCTAGTCCAGGCGGGAACGCTTGCAAGTGCATGGGCAGGTTTAGCCAAGGGAGGAATGCATCCGGCCATACGCTCTCAGCAGCGGAGCCCAGGAGTCCTTTGCTGGGTTCTGCAAGGCTGGCCTGGCCTGGCTGGGAAGCCCGAGTCCAACATTCATTAACCCTGCCGGACAGAGCTCTGCCAGCTGGACATACACAGCTGGGCTCCGGGGGGAACGGGCTGAGTAGAGCTGGGAGCAGGAACTGAGAGTGGGGGCTGGGGGCGAGGGGCCTCCTGGGAGGAGGGCCTTGGGGGAGGCGGGGCAAGCTATAGGGAAGTGGTTAAGAATCCAGACTGTAGGGTAAGAGAGCAATGGGTTCAAATCCTAATTGGTGAAGTTATTCAAGTTCTCCGTGTTAGGATGAAATGAAGTAGCCCACTGCCTGGCACCTGGTCAGAACTTCATCATCGTTACTGTTATTGCTGTTGTTAGCAGGCTGGGGGTGGGTCCCTGCAACCAGCCTCCCCAGCGGTTTCCTGTGGGGGAGCGGCTGGGCCCCGCTGGCCTCGCTCCCCTCCTCCCTCCCTCCTCGCTCCTCTCCCCTTCCTCCCGGGCCCTTTCCTCCCCGCCTCCCCCGCCCCGCCCCGTCCCTCCTCTTTCCTCAGAGGAAACTTTCCGCCTGCTGGTCCATCAGCCCGTGTCCGGCCCGCGCTGCCGCCGCCCGGGAGTCGAGCAGGGCGAACGGGCGGGCGGGACCGGCCAGGGAGGGAGCGACTGGGCCCGGGTATGTGCGGCTGCCGGGGCCGGGGGCCGGACGCGCCGGGGCCGGTCCTCCTGGGAGCGGGACGCTGACGGTGAGCGAGCCTGGGCTTCGGGCCGTGGGTCCCTGCGGGCGGGCGTAGGCTTCCCCTCCCAGTCAGCCCAGGCAGTGGGGGAGGCGGCCGCGGCTCTAGCCTCCTTCCAGCTCCGGGACGGTGTTGCTTGACCTCATCTGGGGACGCACAAGAGGGCGCAGGCTCCCGCGGTCCACTCCTCTGCCCCCCGGATGGAGGGAGACCCCAGACCAGGCTCCGGCCTGCCACGAAGTTAGGGAACCGCTGGCTCCAGGGTGGAACCTGGGGCAACTCCTCCAGGTAGAGGAGCTACCTCGGGAAAGATGCGGGTCAGGCTCAGCTCTGGACTCGGGAGAAGGGTCTGACCCTGCTGACCTCGCAGGCTGACAGGAGAGCGGCCTTCCCCAGAGCAGCATGGACGCCCCCCGAAGGGACATGGAATTGCTCAGCAACAGTCTGGCGGCCTACGCACACATCCGCGGTGAGGGCGGCAGGAAAGATCCTGGGGACGTGGACCCCTCCCTGCCCCTCTCAGGCTCTACTCCACCCCTTGGGCACCCCAGCCCTCTTACCACTGACATAATACTTTGTATTAGCCATTCACCTCTTCCCAGCTTCCCCACCCTCATTGCTTCCCAGTGACTGATGTCAGCTCCCTAATATCCTTGCATAGAGGTTACAGCCCTTGCCCCCAGACCTAGCAGCAGTCTCTTCCAGCGTGACTGCCTTCCACCCTCCAGGCCCCGTCTGATCTCTGCTCTCTGATCCCCAGCCAACCCTGAAAGCTTCGGCCTCTACTTCGTGCTGGGCGTCTGCTTCGGCCTGCTGCTGACACTGTGCCTCCTGGTCATCAGCATTTCCTGCGCACCCCGCCCGCGACCCCGCGGGCCCCCTCCCCGCCAGGACCCCCGCAGCAGCACCCTGGAGCCCCAGGACGATGACGACGACGAGGAGGAGGAGGACACGGTGACGCGGCTGGGCCCCGACGACACGCTGCCAGGGGCTGAGCTGTCCGCGGAGCCCGATGGGCCCCTCAGCGTCAACGTCTTCACTTCCGCAGAGGAGCTTGAGCGGGCGCAGCGGCTGGAGGAACGGGAGCGGATCCTACGGGAGATTTGGCGCACAGGGCAGCCAGACCTGCTGGGCACCGGCACACTGGGGCCCGGTCCCGCGGCCACAGGCACCCTGGGCCGAATGCACTATTACTGACTGATGGCCCAGACTGCAAGATGCTCTGGGCACTGGACATTGTAAATGAACTCGGAGCCTCCCCGGGGCATTGAGACTGCACCCATCCACGGTGCTATGGAGGCACCGCCCCCACGGCTCCCAGGTGCTATCTGGCATGGGTCCCCCACCTTCTGGGGGCACCGTTCCCCAGTCTGGCCAGGGGGGAGGGCAGGAGGTGGAATCCTCACCCCCACTATGGGACAATGAAGAAGTGACCAATGAAAACTGCATTCTTAGTAACTGGGTCTCTTCCTCTGTTACTCCTGCCCACCACCCTCCTCAGCAGGCCCCCAGGATCCTGTCATGCAGGGGGCCCCAGGGTCGAGGCCCCACTGACTCCTTTACCAGGCTGTGGCCAGCTAGTCCACCCATCAGCCATCTCAGCACAAATGCTGTGTTCACAGACAGCAAACACAAACACACACTCCTACACCCACACTCCACTCAAACACAAGCCATACTCCAAAACGCATTCATTCCCTGCAGAGGCCTATGTGCACATCACACCTATTCTTACAAATGCGCTGGATCCACACCCACACCCACACCACACCCACCCTCGGGGGACCCTGACCTTAAGGCTGTCTCATCAGCCCTAGTGTAATGCCATGTGTATCAGGAGAAGGGCCTTCCTGTGAGTCTCTCTGGGGCCAATTGACAGGCGTCCTGGTTCTAGATAAGGCTCTCCTGGCGGGCACCCCTCCCCTGGCACACAGCTGGATTCTGGAATCCAGGCCCAAAAGGCAGATCCCAACCTCTCCTGGGCCCCTCTGGCCCACTATTACTACAGCGTGGGGCTGGCGTCCGAGGTGGCCCTCCCCACAACCATCCGGTGGATAAAAATAGCTGTGCGTAGGCCTTGGGAACAGTAATGGGAGCCACATGTTGGCCAGATGTGCCCGGGAGAGACCGCCAGGAATGCAGAGGGCCGGGAACGCCGGCCTGGCCCCGCCCGCGTTGCGCTGGCCCCGCCCCAACAGACCAGGCACTGTGCGCGAGCAGGCAGAGTTTACTTTCTTGCGTTTCCCAAAGTCGTGTGCAAGGACATGGGTGGCGATGCCAGACATCCCTCCAAGTGGGCTGTGGTCCTTCCCAGGCCCACCCTCAGTACGTCTGAGTCTGCGAGTGGACGGACTCCCGGGTCGGGGACTCCTGGGTCCTCTGAATCATCTGAACCTAGTCGAGAGAGGGTATCAGGGGAAGCCCAGCCGCCGGCCCTCCTCGCCTTGGGTTCACATCCCACCCACCTCCAGCAACTGGCGCTGCTCCTTCTCCTTCTTCAATTCCTCCCAGATGCCGGTCAGCTTCCTTCTGTGGACAGATCTGATGGTGAGGGGAAGGGCTGGAAGGCTTCGAGCTCCCCTCTTTCCCACACCTCCTCCCTTTCCCTTCCTACTTACTCCAACTGTACTCCCATCAGTTCTAGCGACCTCCTCAGAGACTCCACCTCCTCCTTTAGCTTCACCAGGTCGACTCTGTCATCCTGACTTTGTGTGGGATTTTGTTGTACCAGGGAATGGAGGGAATGAGTTTCTTGGGGGCCTGGGGTTGTGGGATGTGGTTTCTCACGGGCAGAGGCTACCTTGGGGGGCACCTCCTCTTGGGGAGACGCTTCCTTTTTGGGGGGTGTTAATTCTTTGTAGGGTACCTCCTCTTTAGGGACTGTCTCCTTCCGGGTGGCCTCATCTTCCCCAAGTGTCTCCTGTAGCAGTACTGTGGCCTCTTTGGGCGGGTGGGCCTTGTCGGGGGTGGGCTTGGAGCCCAGCTCCAGCCCAGGCCTCGGTGGAGTGCCGTCTTTCTCACAGAGGCGGGCCTTCACTGGGCCCGGGCAGGAAGGCTGTGGCAGGGGCTCCAGTGGCACCGGGCCCTCTTCTTGGGACCGAGCCTCCTTGACTGCCTTCTGCAGGCCTTCCTCCAGGGACAAGGGGTGGAATTCGGTGTTGGGTCTGGTGCAGGGTGCTGCTTCAGAGAACACCTGCCCCTGGGTCAAGATCTTGTCTGGAATGGGGGCTTCATCCCCAGAAGGGGCCGTCTTTGGGTCAGGGGCTTCATCCTCAGCTGGGACTTCTGGGGCACCGTCCTTATCCATAAAAAAGACCATCTCTGGGGTAGAAACTCTGTCAGGAGTTGGGGTCTTTTCTGCAGTAGGGGTCTTATCCAGAGTTGGGGTGTTCTCTGGGGTGGGAGTCTTGTCTAGGGTTGGTGCCTTCTCTAGGCTGGGGACCCTATCTAGAGTCAGGCTCTTTTCTGGAGTGGAGGCCTTGCTCAAAGTTGGGGTCTTCTCTGGGGGAGGGGCCTTATTTGGAGTCAGGGTCTTTTCTGGAGTGGGGCCCTTGTTCAGAGTTGGGGTCTTCTTTGGGGTGGCGGCCTTATCTGGTAGGGTCTTCTCTGGTTTGGGAATCTGGTCCAGAGCGGGGCTTTTATTCATAGAAGGGGCCTTTGCCCGGCTGCTCTGCTCTTCCTCCTGTGGTGAAGGGTGGGGTCTCAGCTGAGGACTGGAGACTGCAGGTTTCAGTCTGACTTCCCTTTGTCTAGGATCGTTTGCATACCAAACCTCTAGGAACCAGACACTGCCCAGTGCCCCACCCCCAACACACACACACACACACACACACACACACACACACACACACACGCCCCCATGTGTCTTGAGGCACTCACCTGACTGGGTGCAGAACGCTGCTGGGGAACCTGAGTTTTGGATCTGGATTGCTTTTTACCAGGGTGGCCGGGAACCCCATCAAGGACTCTGCTACTGGAGCCTAAGGGAGCAGAACCTCAGGTGCCCAGGCCTACTCTGAACCTCAGTCTCTCCGTATCTCTGTTCTTCAGCACAACCATTCCCAAACCCACTGCAGGGAGGCAGCCCTTACCTGAGTCACGGGAAGGGCGCTTCTGATTTTCCCTGCTGGATGTCCAGGATGGCCTGGAACATACCCTCATCAGGCCCTGGAGGTGAGGGGGAAGGGAGCGGCATTTCTTTTGTACCCTTGCCCTTCCCCCACTCCCATCTTGCTCCTTACTTGGCTTTGCTTGGACCAGTGGGGACTGTCACCAGCTTCTTGACAGCAGGGAGGGCTGTTTTTGGCATCATCTTTTTTGGTTCTTTAACAGGAGCTGGGAGGGGAGAAGGCAGTGAGGCCCTCTCATTCATCATTTCTTCACTTATCTAACAGTTGCTGGCTCCATCCTGTGCTAGCACAGGGGACCAGAGAGAGAGATGAGCTCCCTGAAGGGACATCTAGCCAGATGGTTGTCAGGGAGATGATGTGGAGGAGATGGCTCCATATCCTGCCAATTTTACCCCCACATTTTTGAAGACCTGCCCCCTTCTTAGTACCTATGGCTGCTTCCCTAGTTCAGACCTCATCTCTTTCCTGAGCCATGGCAACAGCCTTCCCCCTTCCAATCTACCCTTCTTGGAACTTCTTTGCCTTCTCTATCTCATTTATACCCCAAGAGGTCTCACCTAGTCTTATGGGTTTAAATCATCAATAAGCCAACAACACTGAAATTTTCATCTCTAGAATCTTCCTCTTTCCTGAACACCAGACTCATCCCCGGCTGCCCTCTTCGTATCTTCAAATGGAGGGCTAACTGGCATCATACACTGAACATACCCCAAACAATCTCTTGCTTCTCAACCCCTTGGTCCCCCTAAACCTGCCCCTTTTCCCCTTTCCTACTGTTCTCCATCTTACCCATAAAAGAGTCATCGTAGATTCCTTTTGCTCCCTTATGCTGCACATCCAAACCATCAGCAAATTCTGTCAACTCTACCTTCAAAATACCCCTGAACATAATCACTTGTCACATCAACCACCATCCTCATGTGGATGCTGCAACCTCCTCCAACCTGGGCTCTAGCTGCACCCTCCCTGCCTACAGTGTGTCCCTCAGAGTGAGCTCACACTTGATTGGGAAAGCAGACATTAACAGAAGTCCAAGATATAGGACGTTAGAGAGAGGTATTAACTATTATCGAGAAAGAAGAAGCAGGGGAGTATACAATTTTAAATGAAGTGGTCAGAAAAGTCCCCACCAAGAAGGGGGAATTAGCGCAGACACCTAAAGGCAGTCACATACAATGACACTCATATTCATAGACAAGCCAGCCACTCTCGAGTAAGTACATAGGTTGACATTTATTCACACAGACACATTATCACACAGTTACTTTTATGGATTGAATTGTGTTCCCCAAAAAATATGTACAGTAAATTCTAAAATCTATGCCTATGCCTATAATCCCATTCAAGAATGGATTATCTTTGTTATGTTAATGAACTAGATTAGTGAAGGGTGTGTTTTAAGTCAATCTCTTTTCAGATATAAAAGAGATTAAACAAGCAAGCAAAAGTAGCAGAGACGGGGTAAGACAGATGCCAAGACACATGGAGATCTCCAAGGAATCGGGAAGCAGAAGCTGAAGAGACAAGGACCTTCCTTCAGAGTCAAGAGATAGAAAGCCAGTGCTCTGAATTCAGACATCTAGCTAGCTTCCTAAACTGTGAGAAAATAAATTTATTTGTTAAAGCCACCCACTTGTGGTATTTGTTACAGCAGCACTATCTAACCTAACTAAGACATATACACTCATCAACAGTGCATTGTAGTGGGAAGAACCTGGATTCTACAGGCAGACACCAGGATTTGAATTCCAGCTCCATTACTTGCTAGCTGTGTGAGAACGTGGGCAGGTAATAACCTCTCAGTGTGTTCTCATCTGGAAACATGGATAATCAACTGGTAGTGCTGCAGTGAAATCTGAGTGACATAGTATCTGTGAAATGCTTAAAAACCCCACTGCCACTGAGTCAACTCTGACTCAAAGCAACCGATAGGTTTCCAAGGCTGTAAATCCTTACAGAAATACATTGCCTTGTCTTCCTCTCACAATGCAGCTGGTGGGTCTGAACCACTAACCTTCTGGTTAAATGCCTTAACCACTGCACCAACAGAGCTCTTTTGTGAAATGCTTAGAAGACTGGTATATAGTCAAAGCTCAGTACGAGTAGTCTCTGATTTTCCAAATATTCAATTTACCCTGAACTGCATTTACGACTATCCATTTTTGTGTTTTTTCCTTACATCTTATCATTGGTGGAAGCTCTGGTGGCATAGTGCCTAAGGCATTTGACCGCTAACCAGACGGCTGGCAGTTTAAACCCACCAGCCACTCCTTGGAAGTAAGACTGGGCAATCTACTTCCATAGAGATACTGCCTCAGAAACCCAAGGATGGGTCACTATGAGTCAAATTGACTCGAAGGCAGTGAGTTTGGTTTTTGGCTTTTTATCGTTGGTAGATGCTGCAGCATAGGAGCTCTGGTAGCATAGTGGCTAAGGCACTTGACTGCTAACCAGAAGGCTTGGAAGGAAGATGGGGGCAATCTACTTCTGTAGTGATACCACCTTGAAAACCCAAGGAGGGGTCACTATGAGTCGGGTCTGACTCTATGGCAGATAACAACAACAACAACACATGCTGTGGCACATAATTTAGTGATGTTACTGTTTTAGTTCTCCAGTGCTACTATAAACAGAAACACTGTAAGTAGATGTCTTTAACAAACAGAAATTTATTTTCTCACAGTTTAGGAGGCTAGAAGTCCAAATTCAGAGTGCTGGCTCTAAGGGAAGCCTTTTTCTTTCTCTTGGTTTTGAAGGAAGGTCTTTGTCTCTTTAAAGCTTTTGCTCTTGGGCAGTCTTCATGTGGCCTGGCATCTCTCTTGCCCCATCTCTGCTTCTCTCTTGCTTGTTTTTATATCTCTAAAGAGATTAATTCAAAATATACCCTACACTAATCCTGCCTCTTTAATATAACAAAGACAAACCGTATTCCCAAATAGGATTATAACTGCAGGCAGAGAAGTTAGGATTTGCAACACATTATTTTGGGAGGACACAATTCAATCCATAACATCATTCTTAGATGTTCTCTCACAGATGTTCAATGTTATGATTTACTGTTCAAAACACTGCTGCTGAAACAAAAGGGAGTAATGATAACTTCAAACAAACAAACAAAAAAATAGGCCCACCAATGAAGACATTCAAGCAATCAAAAACACATGAAAAAAAAAAAAAAAAAGTTCACAGTCATTAACTGTAGTAGTTAAGGTGTTTGTCAAATTGGCTTGGCCTGGTTTTGAGTGGCTGGGCAGCTGGTGGTAGTTATTCCCCATGATGAGACTGGCAATCAACTTCATGGTGGGATCTACCACAAGTAGCTGAGTAACTCATTTAGGGATGTGGTCTGCTTCCCATAAATAACAAGCAGCTTTGGGAATGGTCTCTAGCTTATGGCACGCTTGAACCCTACATGTAGCTATGTCATTGTTCAGCAGCCTGCCATGCTCTGCTGACCTTGGGACTTCCAATGGACTTGACTCAATAGCCTGCCGTGTTGTTTGGTAACATTGGAACTGTGCCTTTTCCCCTGTCGACCTTAGGTTTGTCAGCCTCAGCAGCCAGGAACTGTCTGAGTGAAGAAAAGCTTCTAGCTTCAGTGGGCCAGGAACAGGAGGCAGAGCTGAAGCCCAAGGTTGAGGGGCTTTCACCCAGCCCCTAGAGCCTGGCACTTTGTATTCAGACTTAAAGCCCTCAAACTGTAAGAGAATAAACTGTTAAAGCCATCCCATCTGTGGTATATTCTTGTCAGAGCAGCACTAATAACCAGAACATTAACCATTAGAGAGATGCAAATCAAAACAACAATAAGGTATCATCTCACCCCAGCACTAATAGCAAAGCTCAAAAACCAAAACAAAAGCCAGAAAACAACAAATGTTGGCAAGGGTATGGAGAGACTAAAACCCTCATACACAGTTGGTTAGGCTGAAAAATGGTCCAACTACCGTGGAAAACAGTATGGTGCTTCCTTAAAAAGCTAGAAATAGAAGTATCATATGATCCAGCAATCCCACTACTAGGTATATATCCTAGAGAAATAAGATACATGCACACTCATGTTCACTGCAGCACTATTCACAATAGCAAAAGGATGGAAACAACCTAAGTGCCCATCAGTGGAGGAATGGATAAACAAACTATGATATATATACACAATGGAATATTATAAAACATTAAAGAACAACGATGAATCTGTGAAACATCTCATAACGTGGATGTACCTAGAGTCCATTATGCTGAGTGAAATTAGTCAATCACAAAAGGACAAATATCATATGAGATCATTATTATAAAAATTCAAGAAAAGGTTTTCACACACATACACACACAAAACAGGCCCATGGTTCAGCCTTTACAGCACAGTGCTACACTGTCATTGCCTTTCTTTGGGAGAGCTGAGTGGTTTCTAGTGGTTGGTGCCCTGTGGCTACTGGCAGAAGTAGAATCAAATCCTCCCTGGAAGAAATATTCCCCAAATAAGTCTTGCAAGACTTTCACAGATTGATACCAAGTATTGAACTCATAGACAAAGATCATAAAACATACAAGAAGGTAGGCCGCTAAGAGCAGGAATCAGTAGACACAAGACACAACAGATATTAGAACTGTCAGAGAACACAGCACAACTTTATATAAAATATCTAAAGCGAGAGAAGAGAGAATGCAACAAAGGGCCCATCAGGAATAAACAGAAAGACTGGGAAACACAAAACTGAACTGCTGGGGGTGGGGGAAGCATCTCTGAAATAAAATGCAACGTAGAGTCTAAATAGCAGATTAGATTTAGCCAAACAGCTAGAGAGAGAATTAGACAACTGGAAGCATAGAGAGTGAAACATCTGAAGGCAAGGTTAAGAGTAAGGGATAGTACAGGTGGGACTTGGGTAAGGCTGAAGGAGGTGACAGGCAAATCATCTCCACAAAAATCAAATATAAAGCTGGAAAAGTTGACAAAACAACCATTTAAGTGTTCTGGAAACTGACCAAAGGCATGTAACAATCTGAGAAGCATGTATGCTTGATGGTGTCCTTGTCCTGCAGATGTTCTGCCAGGGCAGAGCAGATTCTAAGTACCAGCAGCTTCCCTGTTATGGTTAAAGAGGGATCATTCAATTTGGAGTGGTCAGTGATGCCTAAACTCACTGATGTTGCTGGTGGAAGTGATGATCCTGGCAGCAGGTAGGTGCGGAGGGCAAACATCTC